CACACACACACACACACACACACACACACACACACACACACACACACGTTATTTTCTGAGACCACTGCAATATATTCTTGATCTTCTCATCTCCGATCACCATCTCCTTGACCCTACATTAACCACCTCTTCCACGGCCATTTCCTGTAGACTTCATCAACACCAATACCACTGATTCTATTCTCTGACGTCCTCCACCTTCTCAGATCACCTCCCTCAAATACTCTGACTCCATCAAGTTCTGGTCTTTGGTTCCCAATCTATGTGTGTGTGTCTCTCTCTTTAAAACAAACAAACAAACAGACAGGCAAACAAACAAACAAACAAACAAACACAAACCGCCCAAAAATGATCTCTAAAGAACTATTTTTAAATGCCTTTCCATATTGCTTTCCATCCAGCCACAGCTTAAACCCATTTCAATAAAGAATTCCAATTAGGGGATAAAGGGAGAAAAGTAAAGGGGAAAGAAAGGGGAGGGAAGTTAAGAGAGGAAAGCAAAGGAAGGAGAAGAGAGGAAGAAGGGAAGAGAGAGGCTGGGAGAAGAGGAGGAGAGAGGGAAAGAACCGAAGAGAGGACAATAAAGAGAGAGGCAGAGAAGAGAGGAAGAAGGGAAGAGAGAGGCTGGGAGAAGAGGAGGAGAGAGGGAAAGAACCGAAGAGAGGACAATAAAGAGAGAGGCAGACGAGGAGAGAGAAGGGAAGCTGTCTAGACCCATGAAACATGGATAGACCCTGTCGGTCAGATGGGATGTAAAAATCTTTCATGAAACAGAAATACAGAAGGAAAGGTAACTTGCTATTGAGTTTGCCAAAGAACAGGCACATATACTGAGTTTGGTTTTTGGGATTTCCCCCCATATGCTTATTTTGATAGCTTGTTTACTCTTGTAGGCATAAGAAATTGTGCAAATAACAAGAAAAATTTCTACAAAACAACAAAGTTCAGTTGGCTCAGTTGCCACCTCTGCAGTGCTGAACGTCAGACGACACCACAACTCTTAGGATTTCTGATGACAACCCTTTTTATACAAGAATTTTATTGGGATATAGGATGAGATGTATTTTTTTCTTCCACTTTTATGCATTTGCCAGTTTTTAAATAGCAGACATAAAACTTCACCTTAAGATAATATGGATGGAAGCTGGGGCACAAGATTCCAAGTGCATAGTCAAATAAAGTCCTCCTGAAGGAACATGTTCCAGCAGCATTAGTTAGCAGAGAATACTTCTTGAATGCTGTAGGTACATGTGTAGGATTGATTACTCCTTAGAGGACATTCAAGCATTAGATTAGAGGTGAAACCATAAGCCCTAGCCTCTTCATTACTGCTACGGTTTGGATTGAAATCAACTATGACTGTAAAATGAATATAGATATTTTGCCTTTACTCTTGCAACTTTTATTGCGTGAGTCTATCATGTGAGTGGGACATTTATTGTGTGAGTGGGACAGTTGCCTTTTATTGAATATGTCCATCATGTACGTATAACATATTACCCAGTGTCATGTGGGGTTAGAAGGTAAATAAGATAAATTACTATGATCAAGACGCACAGAGTCTGGAATAGCATATTAAGCAAATGCTTTCAGTTTCACTAAAATGCTGAAATTACTCCAGTCTTCTCAACCCTATACAAAATGAATTTGTGGCATCTCTGGAGACTGCTGATACTAGATTAGTTTATTTGGTGTCTCATACACATGCAAATTGCATCCCTTCTCAAATGTTGGTTTTAATAAACTTTCATTGTCCCTCAGGGAAAAAGAAAGCATATAATCATAATTTCTGCTTAATTTTTAAACTGCTTCATTTTTTTAATCAATAAAATAATTTATGATCCTTTTTAATAGGGATATGTGTGTTAATTATTTGAAAACTCACATTAGTCTCATAGTCTCTTTAGTTTTACTTTTTTGACCAATTTTTTTTTAAAGTCTGCAAAAATGTCGCTTGGCTTCTATTCATACACAAGAAACTATTACATATTTATTGAGCCTTTTTAGAAAACAGTAATGATTCTTTTAAGAAAACAATCCACTATGTACTAGACAATGTGAGAACCAGATGTATTTCTCATCTTCAAGATTAATCAGATTTTCCCCCAGATACATCCTTCCTGTCAACTTTCAAACTGTGATAGCATAAATTATTGAAAACAAATAATCTGATGTTATATGTAGGGTTCTCATTATTGTTTGGATCTTTCTCAAGTGGAAAAAACCCCCCTCAGCATCACAGAATTTAATTTACTGTGATGTGGTGGTATAACTACTTATTATTGAGAAACCACAAAGATTCCTTGGTTCATTAGAAAGACATGCATAATTCAGAAAAAAATGAAAATGAGTCTAACTGCTTTATGAAAGGCATCTCTCACTGCTGTCCCTCCAGGAGGTTTTTGGAGACTGCAGATACCACAAGAAAAGACTGTCCAGCTTTCTCCCTCAGAGTCGCTGGTGGATTTGAACCACCTGCTTTTGGGTTGGCAGTGAAATTACTTATCCACTAAGCTATCTGAGCTCCTGAGAAAAGCTTCTGTTGTTAGGTGCTGTCCAGTCGAATGCAACCCACAGCGACCTTATGAATAACAGATCTGAACCCTGTCCTGCTATAGTTCTTGAAATCTCTGACCCACTGCAAGTCCACTGCTGTAGTCACTGGTCAATCCACCTTGTTGAGGGTCTGTCTCTTCTCCTTCATCCCTCCACCTTTCCAAGCATGCTGTCTTTCTCCAGGAAATAGCCTCTCCAAGTAATTTTGCCAGACTTGGCAACAAACAAATACAATTACCACAGTGCTCAGTTAAATCTGAATTTTAGAAAAGCAACAAATACTGTTTTTACATAATCAGGTCCAAAATAATACATTTTATCTGAAATTCATATTTAACAGGGTATACCACATTTCTTCCTATGGAAGCCATAGCATCCTGTCTCTTGCTCCCTGCCTACCTTTTCTTCTGTTCCTTCCAGTCTTACTAACAGAAACTTTAAGAAGATGGTTAAATAACAGTTGAAAGGAAAGCAGGTCTTGGAGATGTCAAGAGTGGAGGTAAACTGAGGTAATAACTTGCTTACTGCTATGCTACCCATGATTCTGTTCGATTCTTCATTGACCTTTTTTTACACCCAGGATCCTTCCACATGGGCTCTGTGTGTTCCTACTTCTAGAAATGTGTCACTTCCTATACAATGTTATCAATCCAAGTGAAGACTGAAGATATACAATTTAGTTAACAATTTGGTCACAGGATATTGAACCTCATTCACAGTTGGCATCAAACCCCACCTTGACAATTTTAGAACCTTCCTTAACACCCTGTCTTGGCTTCTTGAAGTTTAAGCTTTCGGGGATCCCCTGTCCATTTACTTCCTGGGCAGTTTTCTCCTTTGCCTAGTGACAAAAGGAATCTGAAGAGCAACAGTCTATGACAATGTGGTCAATTGAAGTTAGCAGTTTTGACTTCAAAGTTCTTATAATTTTCCCTCTTTTTAGTGGCCTGTGGGTCTATGAAATCAAAAGGAATGCTGAACTCACTGGATGACTGGAATTTAAATCAAGAAATCAAGCACAACAACAACAACAAAAAAAACCAAACACCTCCCACAACAATGTGAGTTGGTAGTTTGCATACCTCTGCAAGAAGTCTCTGAACCAGACCACAAACCATTGGGTAGACACAAGAAGATACTGCTTCCCACGAGGTCATATCCAGGGAGGCATCGGACCCCACAGGCTGCATTGAAGTGGTTGTTGCAAGTGTTCTGGATAAAGTAACCATTTTCAGGAGGCTTCAGGGTTGGGCAGCGGATCACTAAAATTTACCAGAAGGAAAGAAAAACAAAATTGACTTTTGTCTGTGATCTCTCTCCTTTCATTTTTTTAAGGGAACATGCCATACTTTTATCTCAATTGCCTTCAGCATTTCCAGTTATTATATTCTAATTTCTAATTGCATCCATGGAAGAAAAACCCTTTACATCTGACTCTTATTAGATATTTACTTCCACTTAAATCTTAAGTGCAAACTCAAATACTATTTTTAAGCTTGAAAAATATTTAGTTTTATATCAATATAGTTACAAAATATCCTAGTGCATGACTCTCATATATCACAACCTGTTTGCTCCATTCAGTGGCATACAATAAAAAATGAACATAGTGGTACAGCAAAGTGTATTTGCTACTAACTCCAAAGTCATAGTTTCTTTTACATGGTGTATACTATTTAAAAAAACCCTAACAATTTTTTATATAAATACTGAGGCACAAGTTTTTTAAATGGACTTGATTATTACCAGAGCCTACATGAATTCATTTTATATTTAAATATATTATTAAAACGAATTTTTTCCTCTCTCAGATTCAGTTTGGATTCTCCCCCACCCAAAGCACTGATTTTTTCAGAGTTCACTGCTAAGTCACTTCTATGACCTCAGAGCCTCTATATTTGGAGCAATATGAGGTTATGGTCAGTGATAACAAGATAACCTATGTGATCAACATCGACAATCCCATCCCAGGCCCAATATGATTAGAGATGTTAAAATTTGTCATAAATGAATTAAATGAATATACCAGCACGATCTCCCCAAGAGACCCTCTTCCAGATTCCCTACTGGCTCTCATAGCCCTGTGTGTGTAGGATCACCTTCACATGTCTGCCCTGATGCCTGGTAGCCCTCCTTGCAGACACAGTCCTCAGGTGCTGTGCTCCCTGGCGGAGAGGTATGGTTTTCATCAGGACACGGAATGCAAGTGCTGATCCCTCCCGGTGAGCCCTCAGGCTTGTATGTCCCTGATGGGCAAGCTGTGGGCAGACAAGAAACAAGGGAAGTCCATTTCATGAGACGTACCATTTGATATTGAACACAATTTTAGAAATAGAAGGGAAATAAGAAGCCAGACAACAGCTAGCTGTAGACCTTAAGTATAATTCAATGAAGAAAAGAAAGAATCCAGAACAATTTTAGAAGAGTAATGTAGTTTATTACAAAGTGGACTCCAGCTAGCCCACAATTAATTATAATTACAATACAACACAGCATGATCAGTTTCAGCTTATGTGTGGGCAAACTGAGAAAAAGCAATATACAATTAAGGGACTGAGATAAATCAGTAATCCTTGATTGGAAACACGCGCACACACACACACACACACACACAAAACAACCACCCAACAAAAATTTTTTTTACAAATATAATTGACCTCATAGTCCGTCTTCCCCTCTCCTAAAACTCCACCATCCCATCCCCCCACTGTGCACCTGGACCCTCTTCCAACACAGAATAACTCAGACGTGCAGAAAGCATAGAGCTGATGATTTCTGTTCAAAGCACTAGATAAAGGATGAGGAGAGAGTGACAGGCTCAAGGGAAATAATCCAAGTGATGGGAAATGGACTCTTTGAAGGAATTTTTTTTTTTTAAAAAGAAGCACCTCCTCTTGCCAGGCTCAAGGGGAAAAAAGATTAAAAGTGGAATCTAATTGACCTTCCTCCCAATCTTGCCTCTGAACTGCCAGGGTAGCTGCAAATTTGCAACTTAATCTCTCTGGATTTATACATACATTTGTAAAATAACTCAAAATGAAGCATTTAATAACAAAGGGACTTGGCAGCATGCAATTCAGCCTGTGAGATCCAATGTAGCCCCATATGCATTTGATTATTAATAAATTATAACAAGAAAGTAATGTGCATTATGTGACAGCATTATATATATATATATGTATATATATGTGTGTGTGTGTGTGTGTGTGTGTGTGTATATATATAACCTCATCCACTCTTCACAATATTAAGTAGCATTAATGATCACTAACAACATTATTTGCGTGGGAAATAGAGGTTCAGTGCTAAAGAGGAAGATCCTCGATGACACGTACTAACACAGTGGCTGTAACAATGGGCGCAAACACAACAGAGACCATGAGGGCTGTGTTATTCCACTGTACACAAGGTTGCCATGAGTCAGAACAAACATGGCCACAGTACCTAAGAGCGGCAATAACAAAATCACTAACACGTGCATCAGTATTATTAATAAGCATTTATTAATCTTTAAAAATAAGAATATGGGTTAGAGAGATTTGATGACTTAAATAAAATGACACAGCTAGTGGGTGACAGAGCCGGCATTTCTTTCTTTTTTTTTAATAACAACAACATTTTATTATTTAAAAATGTTTAGAAAATAGACATAATTTTGTTAACCATGGTTGCCTCTAGAGAATGAGATCAGAGGAGGAAGGAGAGAATTTTTCTTTTTTACTCTTTTTATGGGAATTTGCATAGTTTATGTAGGTGCTCCAGTGGTAAAGCAAGTAAGTTGGCAGTTCAGATTCACAAGCTCTTCTCCTGGAAAAAAATGTGACCATGTTTCCATAAAGATTTACAGCTTTGTAAATATATGGTACAGTTCTCTGTCCCACGTTGTCATCGTGCATCATAATCAACTTGATGGAAATGGGCTTTATTTTGACTTACACTCTTTGTCTCTATTACAAATTTCACATAAAGAAACAAAAGCATGAATAGGAAAACAAACTCAATGAAATAGAGGAAAATGACAACAATAGAGGTTAATAAAAGACAGTTAACAAATTAAAAATTACTCCTTTGGAAAATGACAAACTTCTAATAAGACTGATCAGGAATAATTAGCTGAAAAGGGAAAATAATGCCAGAAAGGGAGGAAATTAAAAATACCACAGACATTTAAAAAACACATATGAAGATATGTAACAAATTTTTCAAAAATTGTCCAAATTGTCATAAAATGATGTATGTGAAAAACTTCTTGAGAAATGAAAATGTGAATTAAAAACAAAGGTAATACATGGGTTAAAAAAATACCCGCAAATCACATTTGTTTGTGGGGGTTTTCTTTTGTTTGTTTTTTTTTGGGGGGGTTATTCATTCATTCATTCATTCACTGTTTTCTCTACCCTCCTCCCCAGTTCGTTCTTCTTTCCCCCACCCCTTCAATGTCTGTTTTAATTGTCCAATTGCCACAGTGCTTGTCAAAGCCAGTTCTGATTAATCTCCTTTGTCAGTGTGTCCTTTGCCATTCCC